CCTCTCTAGGCCCCCACCTTAATGGGAGCTTCGTGGACCAGGTCACCCTTTTTTATTGCACTTATTATCACATAGATTCAAAAGTATAACCGAAAATTTTTGGACATGCAGAAAGGTCGATTGTCCAACAACCTAAAAGAACATACATACATACATATATATATATGTGAATCTGCGCTACACTCACCCATCAACAGGAATATCTGAAGCAACCAGCATGACAGGGGATAATGGATGAGCCACGGTCTCCCAAAATCTGTCACGGACAAATATTTCAGAACACTCACAAACTAGTGTTTCAAAATTGTAAAAAACCATGAAAATGAGTGTAAATCTGAAAACAAAAATTGAAACCAGAGAAGCTACTTGCCCTCAATGGGGTCCAAAAGAATATAAACAAACTATTATTGCCAATAGGCGCACCAAAGGTGAAGTATCCAATAAAAGAGCATTTGCTAAAAACTAGTAACAACAGGGAAAAGAAAAATGGCGGATAAACATGCACTCATAGAAGGGGGGATATGGTAACAAGGTGCGTGATGTTTTCACTTTCACTATGGATGGCTACTCACTGCCACAAGGTGTGTGATTGTGTGACGTCTTCCCTTTCACTAGGGATGGCTACTTACCACCATATGGTGCGTGATATTTTCCCTTTCACCAGAATTCGATTATGGGGATTTAACTCAACTCATTGAGAATGCACTCCATCTGTACAAATGGTGTCCTGTCACTCTATTACTTGCCCCTATAACACAAACTTCTGGATGACTGCATCCTTTAACTTTATCCCACATTATCTAGAAATTTGTTGTAAACTCAAAATTCTCATCAACACATTAAACCATGTTTTCAGTGTCAAAGAAGTAACTAGTTTTTTTTTTTTTTTTTGAATAATTTCCTTTCTCTACATGGCAGTTGATTTCGTGAACAAATTTTACTATGATCACCCTTCGTGGAAGTAATTCGTCTCTCAAGGCATTCTCTGCATATGAAAGCCGCATTAGACTTTATACAAGACATTAGCAGTTTTATGGGTGATTTAAAACCCTTGAAAGTGGCCCTAAAAAACTCAACTAGACGTGCACCCTAGGGGTAAAAAACATAAAACTTTTCAACATTGTTAACCAAGCAAAGAAATGCAATTTAACCATGGATCTCAATATGCTACAATGGAGGAATATAATTAGCTACTATTGAATGGAAAAGATTAAATTCAGCACTACTTAAAATAACCCATGGCCAACAAAAGTCTAATAACATCCACTATAATAGTCTCACTTTATGATCAAATAAGACGTCACCAATTAAATTTAAAACAAATCGATACATCTACATGGAGGAGAGGTGACTGAACAAATTTCATTTCAGTGATAGCATTATCATAACTCTTAAGCCCTATTAGGACAGCAGAATGAAGAATCAGGAATGAAATCTCATAAGGAGGAACAGGATGTCATAACACACATAGGTATCGTGTTCAAGTGTTCAAGCAAGACAAAAGTTCTGCCCTAGAAACAAAAATTAATTCCAACTTTAACATAGTGAATCGGTTATGATAAATCCACCAACCAAATTTAGGATGGTCTTCCAATCACAGTTTGAACAGAACGTTTAAATTTGTAACCAAAATCAAATTCAGTCTATTACTTTAGAACCAAAAGTTTCGATGTGTATTAGGACTTCAGAATATTTTATACAGATACAAATCGAATAAGGCCAAATTTAACAGAATGTTTAAATTTGTAACCAAAATCAAATTCAGTCTATTACTTTAGAACCAAAAGTTTCGATGTGTATTAGGACTACAGAATATTTTATACAGATACAAATCGAATAAGGCCAAATTTGCATCAAGTCCAACCTGTTTATATGTCCCAACTACTAACTATTTTGTATATTTTCCATCACATTAGTTCTTTAAATGATTTATTTTTATTGATACAGTATTTTTTTTTGGGTAAAAGATTAACTATAATATAAATTATCTTAATAAAGATCACGATTTCAATTATTTAATTAGTATTTCTTTTAGTTTTACAATTTTATTAAGATTCTATTAAATTGCTTTACTCAATAATCATTAAATGTGTTCAAGGACATGGCCATCGAATGTCCTTCGTGATAACCCCACCACGTAACATGATTACATTTCTTTAATTTGTGTGAGATTTGAATTTTAAATGTGTTTTATGTTTAATTTGTAAGTATCTGTCTAATTTGTGAATTATTTGTTAGGAATTATGTTCTAAATTTGAAATTGAAAGCCTAGATGACTTCAAAAATCGAAATTGATGAGCTTAATTAGGTTGTCATAATTTTTAGAGCCTTTTGGGAAGTTTGATTAAAAATTTGATTCAATTTAGTAAAATTAAGTTTTGCTTAATTAATCTTAAGTCATAATTAATTAGCTTAATCCTTAATTAGCATCCTAAGCTAATCTAACCTATATATATAAATATGTTAAGACAAGAGGTTGAGTTAAAAACATACACCAAAATCTGCTGGAGTATCATATAGAGAGAGAGTGAGTTCTAAACTTAGAGAAAGAGGAACTAGAGGATTGAAAAGGAAGAAGAACCAAGGAAGGATTGCTTGTATTTCATCTAATTCAAGGCTCTAGGTATGGAATTCAACCTTAATTCATGAAGATAACTCACCTAGTAAATGAATTCATGAAGGATTGGAGATTAAAAGCAAGTAATTTGAAAGAAATTAACCAAAGATGATGGAATTAGAAGCTAGACATACATGCATGCATAACTATGAAGTGATTCATCATTGAATTTTGTCATCCTTGTTGAATTTAAAAGTTAAATCATACATGCATCATTGATTTCCAAGGTTTTGAAGGTTGAATTTCATATATTTAAAAGTTAAAGATCACATCTTTGGAAAGTAAGAAGAAAAGAGGTTGAGAGGTTGAAGCTCATACATGAATTGAGGTTTTAGGCTCCAAGTTGTTAAATTCATGAAGTTTTGAGCATGAGGTTTGTAGATCATTAAGTAATTATGTTTATTGGCATGTTTTCAAGTTTTAGAGCAAGCCATGCATGAATTTTTCTTTGGAATTGAGCTTGGAGCATTTTTCTTCAAGTATTGAAACCCAAAATTCAACCTCATCGCTCGAGCAATGAAGTCTTCGATCGAGCGCATAATGCAAGCATCCAGTAGCTTTGCAATCCGCTCGAGCGACCAAGAGTCCGCTCAAGCGACCTCAGTTTTTCGTTGCACTTGGCTCGAGCGACCATCGAGCCTAGAATTCAACCATCCAGTACTTTTGTAGACCATGCAGTCCGCTAGAGCGACCAACTATGCGCTCGAGCAAACTACCTTGTTTCAGCTTATTTTGAAAAGTTGCATTCTGTACATATTTCATTCTTATTTCTTTCCGAGCATTCTTAATCATGAATTAAGCCTTATAAATGATTTAATAAGTTAGGTGTGGACTTAAAGAAATTGATCAAGAAAGAAATGATTCCATTAAGCTATGTGTTCCAATGTGTGTATATGTTTATGTGTTGTGCAGCTTGATCGGCGGAGACGTAACAGCAATCTAATCACTATGAGTGCCGAGAAGTGCCTCTTGGTCGAGGCTTTTACTTTTTGTTTTTGTTGGTCATGTTTGATCATGTTTTGTTTATAAGAGATTTGGGTTTTGTATAATTATGATTTGTACTCATGTATGTCTTTTGAATACGTAACCATGTATGTACGAATGTATTTTGGATGTGGATTATTAATTTATAAGTTATCCGATATACCATATATGCACAGCTCGTTGGACACATCATATTATTATTATTCTACTTCCGCTTCTGGCCTCGTATACGTAATTACGGTTTGAACTTCTATCTGAGGCCGTAGGTAATCTCATGATTACTAGCCGGTTACTATCCAAACCTTTGGGGGCGGATTCGGGTCATGACATCCTTGGTACTTGATTAAGTTGCGAGCTTGAAGTGACAACGTCATACTTCAATAGATTTGAAACCCAATTTCTTGAGTGAAATGAGGGAAACCACCTCCGGCAAGGTGCTAATTTTAGTGGACCCCAATATCAAAGAATTTAACCAAATGCAAAATTTTGTTCATAATCCCATTAAAAAGTAGTCAATGTCATGATCTTTTATTTATTTAAAAAAAAAGACAATCAATTCTAGTAACTCTAAATCCTAACCATTATTAAAAGGATCTAACACAAACCTAAAAAGACAATTAAGTCCTTAAACAGTCATATGTATCTCTTTTAGGAGTAGAGAAATTTAGGAAAAAAGTTCCCATTCTAGTACTCTTGTCTTGCCAATTGAACAGTCATATGTACTATTTCTCTCTTTTAGGAATCAATTGAGTAGTCATCAGTCAACAAAAAACACAAATCTTGAACAAGACAAAAAAAAGCTCACAGTAGGAGCAAGTGATCCATAACATGTGGAATAGCTTCAAAGACAAGAATAAGCTCAACAAAGGACATCATCAAAATAATTTGCCTTCAAAGAGAGATGCATGATGTTGGTCACAATACTAACCCTTTAACCTCTGCCTATTTCTCTTTCTTAAAAGGGTGTAAACAAAATCATTTAGTCAAAATAAACAGCTGTTCAGCCCAAATAACTACACAAGTCAATAGCTCAATGAAACAAACACATGAAATTTTGCAACATAAAACAAATTATACCTGTTGTGTAGCAACAAGCAACTAGGTTAAGCAATCAAACATTTCAAAGTCATTTACTATTTGGCGGCTATTTCTCTCTTTAAGGGGGAGACAAAACAAATGATGTACTTGGTTAAAATAAAATAAAAAAAACTGCTCAGCACAAAAAAAAAAACTCAACAAGTCAATAGCTAGATAAAACACAAACATATTGGAAGCTTGCAACAACAAAATAAATAAACACAGCTGTTATGTGGCAACAAGACAGAGGAGCTAACCAATCAGAGATCTCGAAATCATTTGCAATTATCAAATAGCAAAAAGGAAAAAATGTGGTACATACGGGTCTGCCCTTCTGATTCGACAAATTTCACAATAAAATTGAGATGGAATTGGTGGAATGCTTTCTGCACAATCCTCTGGGATAATAACACAACAAATATGTTGGAACACACGGCATTCCGGGTCTGTGCACTGCAAACAAGAGTGAAAATTTATTGTGTGCTGAAACACGCTATAAACAAGAGAAAATTATCCAAAACAGGAACAAGCAAACACTGAAAGTTTTATAAAACAATAAGGAATAGAAATTCTCTCTCTCTCTCTCTGTGTATATATATAAGAAAGAGGACAGATAAACAAGTACTACAGTTAAGATGTTGATTGCCGTATTAAAATATGCAGTGGTGCAGACAAGCCAAGCCACCTCAAGTATTAGATGACATATGTTTGACTTGGTTTGTAGCGACCCTAATTTTTTTCATTATTAATATATTATTAAAGAGAAATATATTTTATTAAAATAATTAATTGAAAATTAATTATTCCTTATTGCTTGAAATGAATCAAAACTTAAGACGGAAGCAGTTTAAGATAGACTGATAATTGGATTGTGTGAGTCATGTGCTATGTTAGAGATTAACATAATTGCATATATTTGGTATTAAACAATGCAAATTAAATTATTATAGTGATTAATTCAATTGCCAGGATTATTTGAGCATCGATTGGATTATCTGATAAAATTGCATTCGAAATGAACGAGTTGCCACCTTTTCTTTCTCCTCTCTCCTATGGCCAGCCACCTTGCACATTTATATGATTATTATATTGTGCCGTATATACATGAAATATATTTGGAAACATGTCTCTCTCTCTCTCTCTCTCTCTCTCTCTCTCTCTCTCTCTCTCATTTGATCAAAGTTGACCTAGATTGCATTATTATATTCAATCTCCCATCTAATCACTCTTACACATTCTTATACCTCTTATCAAGTCTTGACACCTATTATAGCCACAGACACTCCACCCTTTTTTGTAAGACTTCTCCTATTGCCCAACTTGTATACAAGAACCATTTCTACTTTATAAGAGCGCTTGAAGGATCATGAGACTATTGAACAAATCTCCCCTACTACCTCACTTCCCTCTTGGTTGACACCCCAGTCTTCATTTTGCATCTTCTTTACATACATACTCTCCCTATTAGTTTATGGGTCAAAGTCCAACTAGTTCACATACGAACATCTTTCCCTCGATTTTCTTTCAAGACAAACACCAAGACGAACTATTACTTTTCATTTATTTTCACTTTCAAGGATTTGAAACACTACCTATATATCTCTAACACTCTCAAATCTCTCTCCTTTAATTCTTTCTATCACTTTCTTGATAAACAAACACTCCCCTTTCCCAATTTTTCCCAATTTCCTTGTGTTTTCATTTTGTTTTCAACATAAGATCTTCTGTCCCTCTCCCTCAAATATCTCTCTTTTTCTTTCTTTTGCTCCTCTTTTTCTCTTAAAGTTCACCTACTGTTGACAATCTGTTAAAAAATTGATGAAAATTTATCATATGCAAGGAACATGACATCTCACATACTATTAAATGTCAAAAACGCTCTAATTTTGGGAAAATATAAGTTAATTTGGGGAAATTCTATTTGCACACTACAAAAAATCTCAATACACACCATTTATGTTGTTTGAGTATAAACTTGTGAACAAAAGTCAAACGTCCAAACATAAACTTCGAACAAAAATGAATTATTTAGATATACATTTCGTTCAACTGTTTATGTCCAAACAACTATTTTTTGTTCAGAAATTTATGTTCAAACATTTGACTTTTGTTCAAAAGTTTATATCCGAAAGATATAAATGGTATGTATTGAGATTTTTTGTGGCGTGCAAACAGAATTACCTATTAATTTGGCATCTCAACTATTACGAAATGTCAAAAATGCCATAATTTTGTGAAAATATAGGTTCATTAACCTACTATTTTCCCAAAATTAGGGCATTTTTTACATTTCATAATATTTTAGATGTCACGTGCCTTGCCTATGATAAATTCCATCCATTTTTTAACAGATTGCTAACGTAGGTGTATATATTTATTTTTTTGATAAATAACAGTTGGTGTATATTTATACAAATTGATAATTCATGGAGTAAAATGTGGCACTTTTAGTTGAAAGGGATAAAATGATATCGAGCCATAGTTCAAGTGGGCAATGTGTAATTTGCCCCTTGATTGTTTTGAAAAGTCCATGTAATAGCTTTGAATCATGAAATGAAAGGTAAGATACATGTGGAAGAAATCAAATTTGTGAGACATGAGATAAACCCAATGAAGCGATTGTAGTCACCAATAAATAAATAAAATGTAGTACAAAGCTCCACCTTTAGTAAAACATGCACCTTTAAGGGAGGGTTCTCACATATCGGTATAAATAATAAAAAGGAAAAAGCAGAAATAGAACTACTCTTAAGAAAAGGCGAAGCGGACATTTTGGCAAATTTACAACCACTGCATTCAGAAATTCCACTGAAAGATACTTTACCCAAAACACTTGATTAAATTAAACTCTTCAAACGTTCACTAGACAGGTGACCAAACCTATTATGCCGAAGATAGAATGGAGATGAACTCTGATCTAAACGAAACTAAGGCAATGCTGAAGAGATGGATTGAATGGGAATATGTAAACTCTCCTAAATGTATAATTCACCAACCCTATGCCCAGTCACAATCTGTTTCTTGGACTTTTGGTTCTGAACAGCACAACCAAAAGAAGAGAACAAAACATCAAAGCCAGAATCATAAAGTTGACTAACAAATAAGAGGTAGAGATATAACTCCAGCATATAAAAGACATTAGGTATAGACAAAAAAGAGTATGTATGTAGATGGAATAATGGAACCAACTGAAACAAGATGCATAGAAGAACCAGTTGCAATAAATATAGAAATGGGAGAAAAGGAAAAGATACAAATTACTTGGAATGGACAAGTTTTTGGTGTCATATAATGAGAATAGCTAAATTCAAAGATCCCAATAGTGGGTAAAAAATTAGATGCATAAGAACAATGCAAACATGAATGTATAGAGGACATGGTAGAAACATGAGAGGAAGTCAAAGAAAAAGACACAAGCATAGATTGTAGCCGTTGAATCATAGACTGAGAAAGGAAAATCATTGCTTGAGGTAGGAACCGCAAGCGTAGACTAAATCTATGTGATTGTTTCCTTGAACATGTCCAAATAATAGGACAAATCTAAGTCTAAGGTATTAATCAAAGCAGGTCAACTTTGGTCAAAGTTCATCAATCTAGCCAAACTTCCTCAAGGATTTGGTCAATTTGGTCAAAGATGAAATGTTAACCAGACAAAGATGAGATCTAGAGTTCAAAGATGGGATGAATGGGATCAGGTCAGTTCCCAATTTTGTTGTTCAAAGTTGCAACATAGAGGGGGCTTCGGCAAAGCAAAGAGTACTTCAATGACGACAGAGAATGTAGTGCAACTAGAGATCTGCAACTCCCATCAACTAACCACAATAAGAGAGAATGCTTCAATAACCAATGTGAAGTTTATGGGTCAAAGTCCAACTAGTTCACATACGAACAAGGTTCAAACAGAAATTGCGTTCCACGTGAAATTGTGAACAAAGAATGCTTCTAGTCAGGTCGAGTCAATGTTCAAGAATTGTCGCGATAGTTAATTATGGCTTCAGCAATGGTTGCAAACTGATTGCAACTGAATGTAGCTGACTACAGTTGCAACTATGCAATGGAATGCAATTCGGAGGTGGAATATGATTGGGTGATGGATTTCCCACTGTCTGACCTTAACAGGCAATACGTAGGACTGCGAACCAGAAAGAAAGCTACAAAGAGACTTCAATCATTCCAGCGAAGGTTCGGCGATGTGTTTTTGGACGTTAGTGTTGCAAACCATGATTCGGGTATAATACCATGTTAAGTCACCAATTGTCCCAAAAGCTTAAATTATTAAGAAATGGGTCCAATAACATATATCAATCCAACACCCTCCCTCACGTGCAATCTCGTCTTGCACATGAAAATGCAAACATACATACATAGAAAGAAACAAAATGTAAACGGAGAACAAATGCAAATGAAAAGACTTGAAACCAAAGACCTCTCCCAACCTAAGCTTTAATATTGTGTGAACAACTATAGAAAAGGGAGAAAATTGTGTAATATTCCATTAAACTGTTCTCAAGACCTAATAACGTAACTTACACAAAATACATAACAGGGTGAAATTCTAATTAACCCTAAAGACTACAATTACCCCTATGGTAAATATAAACTACCCAAAATATATTTCACAATTCGGACCTATAGCTCACCACAAAGTACTAAACATATTCAAGACCAGATTCTTCATTTGGCATATTACTTCCACACTCAACAAATAATCTACTAGATAATGGAATCCAATGATTTCCTAGTCTTCCAGAGTAATATTAACCAGCAACAAGAGAAGTAATTGTAGAAAAACAATTTTAAATTGACGCACTGCAATATAATAATAAATCAAGATGTCTCCTCCAATTGGTTTCAGGTTTTTTTTTTTTTTTTTTTTTTTTGAGAGCAACAATATAGCTATACATATAAATTAAATGACAAATGCCCAACCACAAGCAAAGGAATATAGTACAACCTGAATCATGTACTCCGTTGGCAATGAACTACCACAGGGGCAGCGAATCTTCTTATCCAAATAAATAGTTCCTACAACTTCTTCACAATTAACATTGTGTATTTCAGAAAAACTCTCTCCGTTCATTGATGAATCAGTGGCCCCTGTACCCTGCAGTTTTCTAGAATAGGATAGCAAAATGAATGTGCAGATCAGAGGAACATTATATAGAGGTGAAAATATAATCTTGCCACATACAGAAAGGGCAGCAACTAATGGTGAGCTAGAATAAAAAAGATTAAAATAGAATAAATCAGAATGGCAGCATGATTCAAGATGTCTATTCAGAATATTAAATGGAAGTACCACCTATAAGTATCATCAATTATTTCTGCCACCCTTTGCTTCGCAGTAAAATTTGTCATCCCCAAACCATGCATGTCCGGCGCTGCACATCAAATTAAGAATACACAAGATGCTTTACTTGGAACTGATCTAATCCAAAGACAACACAAAAATGATCAAATGCAGAATAAGGTGTAAGCCTCATCCATCAATGCGTAGTAGACAACAGCACTAAAGTTGATACAGAATTAACCAGCACACACGGCAATTCAGTATGACTCCTCCAAAAGTGCATTTCATTCAAAAAGATAAAAAGGAAAGTCAACAACGAAAAATACATTGAAAGTGGCAAGGGAATCAAGCCAAGTGGCATGCACCACTGATGCACAAAATATGAACACATCATAATACCATGTATAACAATATGATTATGCTATACAAATGTAGCAATATAAGAACTAATACAATTATGTCAATACCTTATGCATAAGTTGAAGTGCACAAAATTAACCTTTAGTAACTCTTTAACTTGATGTTGGAAGGCAAATAAAACCAACAACATAAAAAATCAAAATAACATTTTGGCTAAACTACAAGAAAGTAAGAATCAAAATACAATGCATATTTATGGTCATTGCAATTTCCTCAATTTAAATGAAAGTAACCACAAAGACAAGAAATATAAAGCATGGTAACAGTTTTATGTGATTTTTCAGACTTCTAATATGGAATACTAAAAGACCTGGTCAACTTAGATCATCAAGTCTTCAACATTCAAAAAAAATATTATTAAAATAATGATTAAAAGAGTAAGTGACCCGTGAGTTTGGCAAGGTATTGACCCCCCATCCAAAACACCAAAACATAACAACTTCAACAAAGATACTACAGAGCTGAACAACTTACCTTCATTAGGAAGCAAGGCTAATATTCTGTCCAAAAGGTCCTGCAAGATGTGTAAATCAACCTCATATATACAGAAAAACAATCTCCATAAAACCACTTGCATACAAATAATGATACTAGATACATTAAGATAAAGAATGGATATACTACTTTTTTTTAGGTGCTAGACTTTATTATGATTGTAAGATTAAAAGGAAATTTAAAGAAAGAAAGCCATTGAACATAGAGCAGCAATGTACAAATTAATAAATTAGTTATATTTGCACAACTACAAGAGCATGGAACAAAATGATAGCCTAGCGGAAGAACTATATATATATAGAAATTGATAGAATGCATTGAAACCCTGCTGAAGTAGTACTAGCAAGTTAAAGAGGAGAGTGAGAATGAAACCCTAGAATGAAAAGGTCAATCATGGAAAAAGTTGTCAATCTCCTTTTGTTGCTCCAAAAAAAGGCCAAAAGACACAATGCATCAGTGCTCTGCTCAACTTAAAATTTTCAGCTTCACTGTGCAGGGTGTGGCACCAACTTTGGACTTGAAATGGTTACATTGGTAAAAAAATTAAGGAAATGAATTATACCATTCGCGGAACAACACAATTGTTCCCTTACCAAAGACATAGCTTGTAACACGAACCTTACAACTAGAACAGTACCTAGAAACTAACAAAAAACCAACTCCCAAGGACATTCAAAAGGATAGCCGAAATAAACCGACATGCTGATGTGGACAAAAAAGCAACAATACCTGTGCAACTGTTCCAAAGTAGATTGACCATCACCCATTATAATTGAGATCAAAGTGATGCTCATTCATTCTCATTTCAAACACGACATTATCACAGGATAGATCATGCACTATACATCTCTAGTTGTGCATACCATTTAAATACATAACTTGATATTATAGTCCATTAGAACAATCAAGTTAGGCAAAAATATATGCTGTAAATGAATTTTCCTAGCCACTAGTAACACCAAATTGTGGGGTCCCACAGAACCTTTTCAAATGCAAAATCATGTTTGAAAGGCTAATAATCTCAACCAAAAAGATGCAAAATCAACACAGGAGAGAGTATCTGGAAAGGCTATGAAGAAGCATGTTTGATAACCATGATAAATTAATCATGTTTGATTTCCAATCTAAATGATAAATTAGTAAATAATAAAAGTAAACTTAAAAATCAAACAATGAATTTATGGATACATAATTTTTGGTAGTGATGGACAGGATATTGGTTCTATATATACATAAATTTTTTTTTTATTACAGGAAATGTATTTATGATTAACTTTATCAATTTATCCTTTGATTAGGAACAGTTGTAACAACCACCCCGAAATGAGTTGAGTAGTTCCATCATAAATCTCTTTCACCATTTAACGTTGTTTTTTTCCCAACTCACAAAGAAATAAGAATTCTAAATTGAAGTAAGAAGATAAGAGAAGAGAAGAGAAGAGAAGAGCAAAGAAGAAGAGAAGAGAAGAGAAGAGAAGAGCAAAGAAGAAGAGAAGAGAAGAGAAGAGAAGAGCAAAGAAGAAGAGAAGAGAAGAGAAGAGAAGAGCAAAGAAGAAGAGAAGAGAAGAGAAGAGAAGAGCAAAGAAGAAGAGAAGAGAAGAGAAGAGAAGAGCAAAGAAGAAGAGAAGAGAAGAGAAGAGAAGAGCAAAGAAGAAGAGAAGAGAAGAGAAGAGAAGAGCAAAGAAGAAGAGAAGAGAAGAGAAGAGAAGAGCAAAGAAGAAGAGAAGAGAAGAGAAGAGAAGAGCAAAGAAGAAGAGAAGAGAAGAGAAGAGAAGAGCAAAGAAGAAGAGAAGAGAAGAGAAGAGAAGAGCAAAGAAGAAGAGAAGAGAAGAGAAGAGAAGAGCAAAGAAGAAGAGAAGAGAAGAGAAGAGAAGAGCAAAGAAGAAGAGAAGAGAAGAGAAGAGAAGAGCAAAGAAGAAGAGAAGAGAAGAGAAGAGAAGAGCAAAGAAGAAGAGAAGAGAAGAGAAGAGAAGAGCAAAGAAGAAGAGAAGAGAAGAGAAGAGAAGAGCAAAGAAGAAGAGAAGAGAAGAGAAGAGAAGAGCAAAGAAGAAGAGAAGAGAAGAGAAGAGAAGAGCAAAGAAGAAGAGAAGAGAAGAGAAGAGAAGAGCAAAGAAGAAGAGAAGAGAAGAGAAGAGAAGAGCAAAGAAGAAGAGAAGAGAAGAGAAGAGAAGAGCAAAGAAGAAGAGAAGAGAAGAGAAGAGAAGAGCAAAGAAGAAGAGAAGAGAAGAGAAGAGAAGAGCAAAGAAGAAGAGAAGAGAAGAGAAGAGAAGAGCAAAGAAGAAGAGAAGAGAAGAGAAGAGAAGAGCAAAGAAGAAGAGAAGAGAAGAGAAGAGAAGAGCAAAGAAGAAGAGAAGAGAAGAGAAGAGAAGAGAAGAGAAGAATACCTTCGAATCGATGATTCGATCGCTGCTCGCCGCCATTGTCGCCGATCGCCGATCGTCGCTGGCCACCACTGTCGCCGATCGCTACTCGTCACTTGCCTCCGTGAGAGAGAGAGAGAGAGAGAGACAATCACCTTGCTTGGTTTCTAGTTTTCCAAAACACTTTTCAGAAAATTCTACTCTCTTATTTTCCGTGTTTTTTTGTTTTTACTGAATTTTTTTAATATTTTAAATAATTTTTTTACTTGTTAGACACACCTAACATAAATACACCTAAAAAATA